GGGGCGCAAGTGGTCCACCTTAACAAGCTAGTTGAAAAGGGGAACTCGCACCAAAACAAAAAAGGGGAAAAAAGATCTGAATATGCATGCCAGGCAAACTTAAATAAATATATTGTGTGCGCACATGCTCGTATACTTACGTACAATGCAAGAGAGTCTTCTTCTTTTTTTTTTTTTTTTTTTTTTTTTTGCCCTAAACTTCTCTAGCAGTTTTGATATATCCTTGAATGATGTTTTTCTAGCATATCTTAGTCAAAACTCTATCTTGTAAAGCCCTCTTAGCTGCCATTTCAAAATATAATGCTTAATAATTGGGGTACGGGACAGTAGTAGTTCTACTCAAACAAATTATTGAAACGTGTTGGGCTCAACGATTCTGATTTTGATCCCTACCCTTGTTCTAGAAGTGATAATCCGTTGACTCATTGGATACTTTGCACGCGTTATCTTTTTTCCCAGTGGTTGAAAGGTTGTGTAGCTATCTAGGCAACAGGCCTGCAACCTTAAGCTATCTACCATTCCAATGTAAATTGTGGCCTGCAAAGCAAGGCGAGTAAAGAAAATGGTTAGCATGTCTTCTCTTATTAGAAAGGCTACGTTTGTAGTATAATCCCTAGGACTGCTACAATCAATTTTTTTGGAATTGATAGAACGGCTGTGTTTGTTCTACTAGTTGAGTTGATTGTTATTTATTTATTTTTCAATCATTTTTTAGAATTGGATGGTAAAGTTGGATGGATAAGGACTCGTTGAACCACAGTTATAAGACTGTTGTGGCTGTGCTCCGTCTGACACCTTGGTTGTGACTAATGTATAAGTGGTTCCCTCTTCTGTGCCAAGTTATTACGTTCTTCAAGCCTTATCCTTTCTAAGGCTTGGGCTTTGTCTGTTGTCTGAATATTCCCTGTGCTTCTAGACCGGCACCTTTTCCCCTTATAGTTGAGAAGGAAGGCTCAAAAATAATTGTATGAGATTCGTTCCCTCCTGGATCACAAATAAACTTGGCAATGTTGTGGTTGTTAATTTATTCTAGTTACATGTCTGTTTGATTTTTTTAAGTCTTTATCGAGTTGCAATGGTGCTTGTTTTGGTGTAGGCATATGTACAACAATTGGAGAGTAGTCGTTTGAAATTGACCCAATTGGAGCAGGAGCTTCAACGTGCACGGCAGCAGGTTAAAATTATAATGCTACATTATATTATTTTCTAACTTAGGTGCTTCATTCTTGCCACTATTAGCTTCCTAGTAGGGACATAAAACCTAAATTTCTACTCATCTTTTTCCCTCAGGGAATCTTCATATCAAGCGCAGGAGATCAGGCCCATTCTATGAGTGGAAATGGTATTTTTTTTTTCCCTTTCATTCTTTCTTTCGTGAGTGTTGAATTTGCGGACTAGTCCCCGAACATTATTGAGAGAAGGGTATAATAACAACTACTTTATGGTCTCACTCAGCTTATTCAACTTCACCTTAGCTGTTCTCTGTTCCTGGGTGGACTAAAATTACAATTTGCATGATAGATATGCTAGTACAACCTGAAATAGAGGATGAGAATGCTTTGTAGCAATCAGTCGCATGGAGTGTTTTATTTTATCCACTGTTTCGGTTAAAAAAATGACCTCAATAAAAAGAATTGTGATATAATAACAGTTCTTTCGGATTCTTTCTACCCCCACTCCTTTCTTGTAGGTAATATCCGTCTACAATGTAAAAGTTTGGGAAGGAAGTACTGAACATCCTGAAATGCGAGAAAGATGATAAATTAATGACCATCCATTGGGGCGGCAGTTGGTGTTTTCCTATTGGAGTTTATGATGGTTGTTGTTGAAGTTGTGCCAGTATATATAGTTTTTGTTTTTAGTTTTGACTTTTTACATTTCTGTGATAATAGTTTCATTGGTCGGAGGGTGGTAGTGAATATACAAATGAGTTGGCATTGTCTCAAATGCTTAGTTTCACAAACACACACACACACTCTTACACAGGCATGTGTGCGCATGTGCTAATAGACATGTGTGTGTGATATTAGTGATTGAACCAAGTAGGCCCCTTATTGCCTGGGATATTATATGAAATATGTTAGGATGTACTATGTAGAGAGGTTAAAGTTGATTATAGGCAACAATAGTGTTGTCTGGATACCAAAGTCTTGTTCAAAACACTAGAAGTTGGGAAATAATTTGAAACAAAGGATATTTTCTTTTTCCTTAACCCTTGTAAATGTAAAATAATTTCATTTTGAATGTCAAAACAAAAGATGGAATTCATTGAGGTTTATGTATGTAGATGCTAGTCCGTCAACTATCTTTAACATAGCATGGGATGAGCCGATGAGTAAATAGAACTCAGAAAAGATTTGTTAAATTGTGTGTTGCAAATTCTAAGACATGTTTTCTCTTTCGGACTCTGATTTTTGGGTGCATGTAACAATTCAATACAAATTACAAATTGGTCTTCTGTCTAAGCTCTGTTTCATTCTACAAGATGGATTATATTGGTCACCACATTCTTTCTCGGCAGGGGCTATGGCCTTTGATGTAGAATACGCACGTTGGCTAGAAGAGCAAAATCGACAAATTAATGAATTGAGATCAGCAGTTAATTCCCATGCAAGTGATACAGAGCTGCGTATTATTATTGATGGTATCTTGGCACACTATGATGAGATTTTTAGGCTGAAGGGCATAGCAGCAAAGGCCGATGTTTTTCATTTGTTGTCTGGCATGTGGAAAACTCCTGCTGAGAGGTGTTTCTTATGGCTTGGTGGTTTCCGCTCATCAGAGCTCCTCAAGGTAATGGCATGCCTCATCAAAGTTTCAAGGATTTTCATGCTAGGGATTGTTTTTGTTAGGTGCAATACTATGATCCTTTGTTGCACCTAGATGCAGGCTTGCCTGATTCATTTGTCTCAATTTATTACTATTTAACTGCCGCAAGTACAATAATCTAGAATCTATAGTTTGTTGGGATTTTTTGTGGCGCCAATTAATTAATCCTTGTTCTTTTATGGAGTTTCTCTTATGGCGATTGAGGAGTAGGAGCTATAACAGAGCCAGAATATTTTTTTTATTTTTTATTTTTTTTCAGCAGGGGCATTTTGGGAAAAGTTAGAGAGTTTTCTGTTGAATACGGGCGTAGTTATATTGCAAGTATTGAGTGAGGGAGGACTTATAATTTTTCTTTCAAAGTTAGGGTATTATTAAAATTTCAGAAAAAATGGAGGTAAAAAAATAAATTTTGGAAAGTTGGGCCCCACTCAGTATAAGGTGGCCTTTCTTGTAGATGCTAAGGTGGTTTGTCAATATCTTCATTAATTCGTTTGATCATTGAATTTATCCTTTTGTCAGTTGATCTACAGGACAGTGCTTGTGCTTGGTATGACATGCAGTTGAATTTGACCACTGTTTTAGTTGCTTAAGAAAAAACAAATGTTGCCTTTCATCTGTTTGTTTGTTTGTTTGTTTGTTTGTTTGTTCACTCTTCTCTCTCTCTCTCGTTTTTTTTTTTTTTTTTTTTTTTTTTTTTTTTTTTTTTAACAATTGGTCTCATATTAGATTTATACTTGACATATATTAAGTTTTTTCGTCCCGTTACTCATATCTTGTCTCACCTTCTCATTATAATGTCCTCATTTACTTAGTTAGAAAGCAGGTATGTTCTGTCTTGATAAATTTTGGTGTAAATTTGTCCAAACACAAGATGTTGTTTGAACTAGAGAAACTTGAGTGAAATGATTGCACGCTTATTATGCCTGCCTACACATGCAGCTTCTTGTAAATCAGTTGGAGCCTCTAACAGAGCAGCAGTTATTGGGAATCACCAATTTGCAGCAGTCTTCCCAACAAGCAGAAGATGCATTATCTCAAGGGATGGAGGCCTTGCAACAGTCCCTTGCAGAAACATTGTCGAACGGATCTCTTGGTTCCTCCGGTTCGTCAGGAAATGTAGCAAATTACATGGGGCAAATGGCGATGGCCATGGGTAAACTAGGCACTCTTGAAGGCTTTATCCGCCAGGTAATTCCCTTCAGATGTTGTATGTTTTTAGTAGTAAATTGTACTCGTGCACTTTTTTTGTCATTTGCAAGTAAGATCCTGAACTTTTTAATTTTGACATTTAGGACGATAAATTCGACAATTCTTGGAAACGTAGTCCAATCAATGAAGAACGTTGATTAATGAACCACAATTAAGGTCTAAAATTTCAAAAGTTAAAAATTTGAAGGTGCAATTTTTATTTTTATTTCTTTTGGGGGTAAGTTAAAGAGTCCCAACTTTCCAACAATGAAAAATTTAGGGTGCATTTGTGTAAAAATCTTGGGACATTTCTGTCCATTAACTGATGTCCTTTACATATTGGACCATAATTGTAACAGATTTTCAGATTTAAGGTTGTGTTTGCCAAAATTAAAAGATTGGGTTCCCTGTAGCAAAAAAAAAAGGTTCGGGGCCCAAGTTGCCAAACACTTGTAAGTTTAGAGTGTACTAGTGCAATTAACCTGATTTTCACCACAGCATGAGACCTACATTTATTTTTTGGTTTGTGACGGTCTAATCATATGTCTTGTCTAATTTTTCCATTTCAGAGAACTAGGAAATCTGATTCTTATAGAGTTATCACAGACACTAGCTGAGATCCACACCCTGCTTCCTGGTTCTTGCATTCGCCTTGAGAAATTCTGAATGCAGAAAACGGAGAATAGTTCATCACCTGAAATGAAAATGAAGTTTGAATTTTCTTGCAATATATTTCTCCAAAAATTTTTTAATCACGTAACCTGTTCATAACAATGATATAAAACTTTCTTTTTCTATGACTGTCAACTCAGTTAAGATTTGGTATTCATATCAGGTGCTGAAAATTTAGCACAAGTTGCAAAAGTCTAAACCCATTAAAGAAACAGGAAGATGTTGTGATACATTTTTATCGAGTGTTTTATCATGAATGTCATTGTCTTGTCTGTGTTGACATCTTAAGCCTCTTTTCTTGTGGTGTGGCCAACAAAACCAGGCAGACAATTTGCGGCAACAGACGCTGCAACAAATGCACCGTATATTGACAACCCGTCAATCAGCTCGGGCGCTCCTCGCAATACACGACTATTTCTCACGGCTACGTGCTCTTAGTTCCCTTTGGCTCGCCCGTCCTAGAGAGTGAAAATGTCCTCGACTCATAGTTTTCTTCAAAGCTGATTGGTAAAAGATTGGTCTTAATTATCACAAGGACAATTCTTAGATAGGTGCTTCAGCAGATAATGTTCATCTTAACCAATTTTCTGTTTTATTTATTTTTTTTCTTTTTTGTTTGTAGTCTTCAAAGTTCCTGTGCATTAGTATTAGTGTTAATCTTGAAATGTCCATTAATTGTTAGCCATTATGTGATCCAGAAATGATATTCGTGAACAATCTACGTATATTATGTTTGTTTCTAATAATAGAATCACTATTGTTGTCATTGCAACTCATATAACTTTTGGAGCAATGGGATTATTGAATATCGTATTTTTGTTTTTAAAATTTAAGATTTAGATTTAGTATTTTCCCTGAGAAAGTTGAATCACATGATTTTGGAAAATTTCCGTATGTTTATTTACTTGTTTATTTTTTCCGGGCAGTTACAGGGAGGTCAAACGTGTTCAAATTGAACCAAACTCTAATTAAGAAATAGGAATTTAGGATAGTTCTCGTTCATTTCACCGATTTGAACTTAAAATTCAAGTTTTACTACAGTAAAAAGCTCTCAGAAACAGTCACATCTAACTATTTTACTACAGTAAAAAGCTCTCAGAAACAGTCACATCTAACTATTTTGCTACAGTAAAAAGCTCTCATATAAAGTTACATCTCAACTTGAATTAAAAACTCGAATCAGCGAACTAAACGGGCTCGAATCGTTGATTTGAGTTTTTAATTCGAGTTGAGATGTGACTTTATATAAAAGTTTTTTTACTGTAGTAAAAAAGTTAAATGTGACTGTTTCTGAGAGTTTTTTATTATAATAAAAATTGAATTCTAAACTCGAATCGATAAAATGAATGAAATTGCACAGCCTTTTCCTATACACTGATTCATGTAAATCATTAATTTTGAGCTTAAGAGCAGTGGCCTATTTGTTTCGTGGCGGTTCAAATTTTTTTGTTATAATGTTTTGTCATAGAAAAAATTAATTTTTTTTTTTTCATATTTATGAATCTAATATATTAACTTAGAAATGCCCACTAGTTCATTGATGTATCTTATTTTTATGTCAGGTTTGTTAAGCCTTTTTTGGCTTGTTTAGTCTTTGGAGCTATTTCACTTTTCGGTTTTTTATTTTTATTTTTTTTCATCTTTTTATCTGAATTGGCGCTGTTTTTCCGTAAACTTTGAACGTAGTGACAATTTGGTCATTGACCATATGATATATAAAATTTAATAAAGATAATCATACATTCATCACGTGATAATTTAAAATTTTAGAAAAAACCTTATAATATATGCAAAATTTACTCTGTTACTATTTAAACCTATTAAAACTATAATAATTTGCACGTACCAAATTATGAATGTGAAATTTTTAGCTATCATGTGATGATGATACGATTATCTACGTTATATTTCATAATTTTACCGGGACTAAAAATATCAAAAAACAAAACTTCAAACACTAAATATGTCAAAATTAAAAGTTCATTATGCAACCATAATTCAAAATAACATTTTTTTTTTTTTTTTGTAGTGCTCACAAGTTGTGAGCGTGAATTGGTTTCCTATTGTCTTTTTTATTTTCTATGGGATATTCTCCTCCTAAAAGAATATATAAATATACAAATAAGGCTATTTTAAAATGTTTTTCTCAGAAAAAATGTACGAAGTGTACGCAGAATTTGGTGAAAATATTATGAATAAATAAACGGAAGATGTTCGAAAGAATAATAACATATTGACAAAACTTCTAGAACAAAAATAAGTAGATGAACTTCTAGATGGATTAGGAGAAAAACGCGGCCGCTGTTGCAACTTGCATGAATCTATATTCTATGCTTTCTTTTCGAAAAAAAATAGAATCTCAATCATGATAGACATGGTTTGTTTTTTTCGTTTTCTTCTCTTAACTTTTTGCAACTTTTGACGTTTTGAGTCGATTAAATATTTTATTATGTTGTTTTTCCAACAAGTATAAAACATACTATGGTTTGGTTTTGCCAGACAGAGCGCTGAATAATTTGCGAACCCGTTTAGTTTATTAATTTAAGTTGAGATGTGACTTTTTATGTAAGAATTTTTTACTGTAGTAAAAAAGTTAAATATGACTGTTTCTTAAAATTTTTTACTGTAATAAAATTTAAATTTTAAACTCAAATCGGTGAAATGAACGGACCTGTATTTAGTTTACACATAACCTATGTTTTGGTTCAACGATTCAGAAGGGCCTAATTGTTACATGTAGCCAAATTCTATTAAAGGTTAAATAAGAAAATAAAATAAGGATGATTATATATGTGGACTAAGAACATATAGAGCCTTTACTAGTAAAGAGCTATGAGCTTTATACAAATCTAAATTATATTAGTATAATCGGGTAAGTTACCCAAGATTAAAATCAAGGGATTTTTTAAAATATAAACAAAGTCAAATTTAAAAAAAAAACTAACATTAATATATGAAATATTCTTGCCCTATTAAATGCCAGATTAAAAAAACATGTGTTTGTTGTATCTGGAAAGTAGAACCAGGATCTGGCCAGCTTGATTCCACAAATAAAAATGTATAGTTTCTTGGAGCAATTTCAATTAAAAAAAATTATTCTAATTAATTTAATTTATTGATCTGACTCTTAAATGCGTAAAAGAACATGCACATGAAATTCACAAGATTTGGCTTGTGATTATTTGCATTTATATGTCCTTTAATTTATTCATTAAAAAAATGTCATTTAACTTATATGACAATAGACTATAAAGCATCTCCAATACAATGATAAAGTAGTGTACTAATATTATATTTTAATATTTGAATAGAAAAATCCTCCACAATATATTGTTTTTCTTTATTGTTAATTCATCATATATTATATTTGGTGGCAAATTTACCACCAAGTTACATATCATATGAAAAATTTGACATTTAATTGATAGTAATTGATATTTTTTTTTCTCCATTTGATCATTGTAACAGTTGCATTTTAAATTATCTTAAATTTAAGATTTGTACTGTTACAACTTTTAAAATTATGAAAACAATATTATGCATTAAAATATAAATGCACATAACATATTAAGTGTTGACGGTGAAATTTCGCCAACAGGATTGCGTTGGGTCACCCCTTGGTATCCCGTAGAGTTACCGGCCTAATATTGGTGTATATTTGAAATTATGCTTGCAAAGTGTTTGAGTAAACCTTGTGGTGAAGGAAATATGAATGTAATGTTGGTCTCCGAATCGAATTCGGATGCGGAAGCGTGGTGCGGGGAGGCGAATCGTGTATAACAAAAATTTTCATAAAACTGTTGAGATACTCTATAGATTATATTAATTTATGCACGAATAAATTAATCTCATTAATTCATTTATTAAGAACTCAATTAGGAAAAATACCTAGAGGCCGACTCGGATGATAACTTGAGTTCTTTGACCTCGAACAATCCTTGCTCCAAAGCTTTGTGTTTAGAAAACCAATATCTTCTACGTCAATTCCTAGAATCCACAAAGACGTGTGTGTGGACACACATGAGACAAAACGAGTTACAATAAACACTCAAATTTTTACAAACACCAACACATGCACGATGTGAAATTTTTGGGAGAAAAAATTTTCCTTCCTCTCTCTCTTGAGAATTTCGGCCAGCCTTATCAAAATAGGGCAAAATTTGTTTTTAAAAATTGTCTTCACAATTTTCTATCATTCTCATATTTAAAGAGTAGAAATCAAACTTCAAAAATGAATCAAATCTCTATCTCTAAGATAAAGCTTGTTAATTATCTCCTATTTGAATTTAGAATAAAATCTCCTCTTATCCTTATCTATTGTGGCCGGCCACCTTAGGGGATCTTCATCCCTGTGTGGCGCCAATTTGCAGATAGGGAAGGAAGAGAAAATCATCATTTATCCTGTAGTCCAATTTTGACTTAAATTCAAATTCCAATTTAAGTCAAACTTAAATTAATTTGAATTCTAAATTGAACAACTTATCAAATAAGTTTAAAAGGATAAATTTAAATTATGTTCATGATTCAAATTCAAATTTAAATAATCACATTATTTAAATAATAATTAATTCTTAATAATTATTTATTTTTTGAGTATTTAATT